ATTCTGGGAATTGAAGTCCGGACATCTTCAAGTTGACAAGGTTGAGAAACACTGTCCTAACCACTGCTGGGGAATTCTGGGAATTGAAGTCCGGACATCTTCAAGTTGACAAGGTTGAGAAACACTGTCCTAACCACTGCTGGGGAATTCTGGGAGTTGAAGTCCGGACATCTTCAAGTTGACAAGGTTGAGAAACACTGTCCTAACCACTGCTGGGGAATTCTGGGAGTTGAAGTCCGGACATCTTCAAGTTGCCAAGGTTGAGAAACACTGTTCTAGTCCACCCCCCTGCTCAAGCAGGAAACCCTCTGCCATTTCAGACAAATGGCTGTCCAATCTCTTCTTTAATATTCCCAATGTTGGAGCATTCACAACTTCTGGTGGCAAGCAGTTCCACGGGTTAATTGTTCTCACTGTAAGAAGTTTCTCCTTAGTTCCAGGTTGCTACTCTCCTTGATGAATTTCCACCCATTGCTTCTTGTCCTGCCTTTAAATGCCTTGGAGAATAGCCGGACTCCCTCTTCTTTGTGGCAGCTCCTGAGATATCGGAACGCTGCTATCCTGTCTCCCCTGGTCCTTCTTTTTCTTCAACTAGCCATGGCCAGTTCCTGCAACCGTTCTTCATATGTTTTAGCCTCCAGCCCCCTCATCCTCTTCTCAACATCTTTTTACATCGTGGTGAGCAAAACTGGATGCCGTGTTCCAGGCCTTTTAAAGTGGCCCTAACACTTCACGTGATCTTGATTCTGTCCCTCTGTTAATGCAGACCCTCCCCCTGCCCCCCTGAGGCTGCCCGTCAAAGGCATTTTGCTCCTGGCAACAACACACAGGCTGGCAGTGAGCACTGGGTAGGCAGCCAAAGGATGCTGGAGGACCCCTGGTGCCTCCTCTAGAACCGAAGGCAGCTGGTGCCCCTCAGGAGCCGGACGGAGCTCGGCTGGGGCCCACAACTTCCCAGCTGCAGCCTGAAGCAGCCTCTCCTCTGGCTCCTGCTTGCCTTGGCACCGTGGCTGGCCTGCTCCCTCACCCGACCCTCCAGGGGGGACCCAGAGGCCTTAACTGGTCCTGGGCACGAAAGGGTGGCGCCTCTGGGCCTCCTGGCATACCTGCCAAGCATTTCAGAGTCGGGTGAAGGGCACAGCCTGGAAAAACGACTGACAAGGAAAGAGCCAGGATAGGTTGAATTGCTGGGAAGGGCGATGACCTCATCCTGCTTCTGGGTGCCGGGGTGATGCAGAAGCCTCTGGGTTGGCAGGTGGGCGACTGGGAAGGGGTGGCTGGGAAGACGGAGAGAGACAGGGGAAAGGCCCCAGTGGGAGGGGAGGCTCTTCGGGAGCAGGAAGAGACGTGGGCCTTGATTGGGGTAGCAGGTTTTGGGCAAGTGGTGACTCTTGCCCACCTCAGTCTGCCAGCCCCCGTGAGCTTGGAAGATGGTGCCACTGGCCATAACATCCGAGCAGAATGAAAGGGCAAAGGAAGAGGAGGGAGGGGCAGTTGTGTTACTCACAGCCGTGAGACAGAGCTCTGGATGGAGGGGGGGTGTCTCCCCACCCATGTAGGGAGGGGGCCATCGTGAGCCTCACCAGGAAGGCTCCAGAGGGTACCCATGATGGGTCAGCTTGTGGGCAAGATCCCCTCCCGGGTGGGCTGGCAAGTTGCCTTACCTGAAGCCTCCCCAAGGATGGGCAGAAAAGGGCGCCTGGCCCAAACCCACCTTTGCCTCTGCCAACTGCAGACGGGGCCTGGGGGGAGGGCCCCCCTCCTCCCCCAGCTGAGCTCCAAGCACAGAGGCTGCCCTGCTCTGGGCTGGGCCTGGGGGTGGCCCAGGGAATGGAGACCCTGATAGGAACCGGCTTCCTGGCGGCTTCCCCCCCCCCCCAGATCTCAGCTGGCTTCTCAGGACCCTCCAAACTGCGGGTGGCCCTTTAAGGCTCCCTGAGGCCCTTGGTCAGAGCAGCCGCTGGGCCACCAAGAGGTCATCTGGCTCTCAAGACGCCGGTGGTGGTGCTGCTGACGGAAGCATTTCCCCAGGAAGCCCAAGTGACCCCTCCCTCCGTTCTCTGCGTTTGGCCAGCACAATGGCTGGGCCTCCCCACCCCCTTGAAGGCCTGGGCTGGGCCCCTCCCCGGGGAGCCTCCTCCAAGCCAGGCCTGGGCCTCCCAGGGCCTCTGGCCCACCCCAGCCACATGCGGGGGGGGGGGGGGGGGGGCTTTGCTGCAGTCCTGGCTCCCCGTCTCAGTGACATGATTTGAATGTACAGATGAGGGCAGCATTTCTGGCTTTCAAAGGACGGTTTCCATAACAACCATGTTCTCATCAGGTTGCTTAACTCTTCCGCTGCTGGACCAGCCTCTCCGCCTAGATGGGCTTCCCCCAGATTGGGTGTTGGGGGGCCACGTTTGGCTCCCCCTCCTCCATTTAGGTTATGTGGGGGGGGCATCCAGAGAAGGTAGCCGGGGCAGGGCAGGAAGCAGGCTGAGCCCCCAGGAAGCCTCAAAGGCCAGGAGGTGCCCAGGGGGGCCTGGGGGCTCCAGCAGAAGAGGCTCTGAGGTGCCCCCAAGGACTCCCTAATCAGCCGCCAGCTCAGCTGTTGCAATTAAGGCTAATTGGGAGGAGGCGGGCGAAGGGCCCAGCCGGTCTCCTGGCAGGTGAGGGTGGGGCGGGGAGGGGGAAGGAGGGAGGGAGGGAGGGTGAGGCAGCCAGGGGTTCCTGGGCTCATGGGGGTCTCCTGCTGATTCCCTTGCAGACCCTCCCAGGACATCAGCCTGGAGGAATTTGACGATGAGGACCTGTCCGAGATCACAGACGATTGTGGCATCGGCCTGAATTATGACTCCGACCACAATGAGAAGGTGAGAGAAGCCGAGGGTGGGGTGGGGGGCTGGCAAAGGGGGGTAAGCCCCTCCCCTTTTACACAGGGGGCCCCCACAGTTGCCCGACCTCCCTGCCCCCCCTCTTGCTCCAGTTTGGAAGGTCCTTGATGGCTGCCTCCATCAACCCTCCCAGGAGACCCCCAGGGGGGAGGAGGGGGGGCAGGAAACCTGCTCTCCTCTTTAAAGGGCAGCTGCTGGGTCACCGGAGGCAGGTGGGGGGGTGGGGTGGGGAGCCTGGCTGGAGTCTGAGCTGTGTGTGAGGGTCAGCTGGCTCTTGTCCCTGTCTGGACTGGACCTTTGAGACAACAAGGAAAAGAGGATTGAGGCTCAATGTAAAGACCCCCCACCCACCCAAATCGGTCTGGGGGAGGCTGTGAGCAGGTGCAGGCAGGGAAGGGACCCACCAGCAGGCTGAATTGGCTCAGGAGGAATCCAGTTCTCCAGTCCAGTCCAGGCCATGGAGCCCAGTGGCCTCCTCCCCCTCATTCAGGGACGTGGATTCCCTGCCTGCCAACCCAGATCTCTCCCCCTCCCTCCCTCCCTCCCTCCCTCATCATCCTGGTCCTTGGGGAAGACCAGCTGCACGATTTTAAATGCAAAAGCGATAAAAATATATTAAAAGATCCCAGTAGCCGGGTCTCCTGTGCCCCCAGGCCCCGCAGGGAGGCTGCCAGACAGACAGATCAGCCTGCTTGCCTTCAAAGCGGCTGGCCCCCCCCCCCCGAGTCCCCAACAGCCTCTGAGGAGCCCCCCTCCCCCGGGAGCCCTTGGTGCCCACCCTG